CGAGCCGTGAAGCCTACTCGCCTGCCCTCGCACCCGGCTGCCCCGCTGTCATGCGCGACCGCGTGGTCCGTGTCTGCCCAAACTCGTGTGACCCGGTATCCGCCTGCCCACCTGCCCGAATGCACATACCAGCCCCTGCCTGAATGCGCGGAGCAGCGCCTGAGCGCCTGCTCGAACTTGCATGACTCGCGATCGTGTGGCTTCGTTTGTTGCGTGTAGTCTGCCCTGCCGGCCTGCTGCCGAACGCTGGTTGCCCGCTGCCCGCGCTGAATGGGATTTGACGAATTTTTTTAATGGAGGCGCGGGATTTGGCTGAAACAGGTCGGTTCAGGTTGACCCGAACCCGAAGCGAGTCGGGTTCGGGTCTAGAAAATTGACCTATTTGCAAAAGCAGATTGGGTTAGGGTTGACCCGATTAATGCCGAGTCAGTTCCGAGTTCGACCCGAACCCGACCTGTGACCCGAAATTGACACCCCTACTGAATTTGGCTTAAAAAATTTTTGTCTTATTCCTGACAGATTGATAGATGGATAGAGCAGAGGGCTAAAGGCACCTCCCAGTGCCGCTCTAAAGAGCAAATCTAATCTGCCCTTCTGTTTTGCCATATATTTTGCCGGCACTATGCCAAACGTATGGTTTTCATTGTTCCCTTTGAGTCTTTATAAGTATTTTCTTCATTTTTATCAATAAAAGGATGATGAATCTCTGCCATTTTCTTCACCAATTCTCTCATTTACTTTCATTCAGTATAACAACTGAATGCAACCACAACACTTATAATAAAGTAGATAATAAAATATACACAATAGATGATAAAATTATAATGAGAAGCATTGCATTAAATGAAATCAATTATATTGTTTTTGCTGGAACAAGATGAAGGCAATCGCAATAACTATAACAAAATAGACAAAAAAACTTTGATATTGGACATGTTTCAATTTAAACTAGAATAAATTAGATCAATGTTTAAAGCTGGTAATAATTGTTTTTAGGGTTTGAGTTTAGCGTGCAATCATAGAACATCATCGAAAATTATGAGTTAGACATGTTTTGATTGAGATTAGAATAAGTTTAGATCAATGTTCGAAGCTGATTATATGTTGTTTGACGTCCTTCTAAGGTTTGAGTTCATAGTGCAATTATAGTACATTATCGAAGATGAAAACTTTCCTAAACATATAACATCTGAGGCCCTCGATGCAATTGCTAGCCAGTCGGAGATTAAGATAAAAATATTGTATTAGAATAAAAAAGGCACTCAAAATATAGAATATAGACACTTATAAATATTATTAATATAATACTTGAACAACAACTCAAAATTTGAAGATATATATTTCAAAAAATAATAAATAATAAATAAATAAATATATATATATATATACCGATTCAGGCAAGAATAGTATTTTCATTCTCCTCTTGGTGGGTTTTGGGAGAAAGTCGATAGGGCAATCACAGCGAGAAAAATGGTGGCGACGAATCTGAAGGCAGAAACGTTTTCCTTAGTAGATAAGCGAGCTTCAATGGAGGCAGAGATGAATGCCATAATCGCGCAGCTTTCAGCCCCAGGCGGACCTGGTATCTCTGGAAATCTCGTTGATGCTGAGGTATTCTATTCTATTTCTACATCGCGCAATCTCCATAAGCAGTTCACAGTTACCAACCTTTTTTTTTTTTTGATCGACTAATAAATGGAGCACATGTTTGTTTTCGTTATGCGTGGTTGAATTTCGCGGCTTTCCCCAGGGATTCCCTCGGTCAGATATAGATATTCCTGCCATCCGGGCGCAGCGCGGTCGTCTTCTTGGTATGATAATGAATTATAGTATCTTGAAATTATTGAAAATTCTAGCTCTTCTTTAAAAATTGTGAAAACTTACCATGCTTCTATCATTGCTCGGTGGCGTGGATGTCATTTTTAGGCGTATCTGGAGCTTTTGAGTGCCATCCGGCTTCTTTTGAGCTGCAGGCATCCTAGCATTTTTTTATCAATTGAATTAACCCTTTGTTTTTTTTTCTTTTGGTGTGTGCAAGTGTTTTTTTTTTTATTTGGGAATTAGGGGCAGAGCCTAATTTGAGTAATTTCATTAACTATAAAAGATAATTATAATGGTTATAGAACTACAATGCAATTCAAAATGAAATGGAGTTATAATGAGCTGTACAAAAAAAGAGCAATGCTCAACAAAAAGGCAGTGACACAAAAAAGATATAATCTAAAACCTGGACTTAGAATGTGCAGAAATACATCCAGTTAGCAAAAATCAGTCATATTGTGAAACCTCTTAAGCAAAAAGAAGCTTAACTCTTAAACTTCAATGTGCCTTTTGGTGTAATAGTTGATATTTCATTAAGAAACTCTGCAGTTAAGCGTGCTCATTTAGGAGAAATCTTGGGATGGATTACCTAATGAGAAGTTACACCAACTGGACAAAATTGTGAGGCCCTTAGACCAAAGCGGATAATATCTTGATAGTTAAGAGTTTGAGCTATTATACATATATACGAAACATCCCCTTGTTGCCAGTACGACCGTCAAAGGGGAAGAGGTCTAATTATTGAGATTCATTCATCATCGTCCAGTTGCCCTGCCAAAATTTCCAGTAGATAAGATATTATCTAGGCATCTCAAATTCCAAAAGGCAACAAAGTTTCACAGCAACAATGAACTATTGGGAAGCGAAAATTTTGCATAGTGCAAAAGATGATACCCTGTCCCAGGGCCACAAAAACTAGAGAAATATCAACATTAAACAGAAAATGCACCAAAGAAATACCATATGTGATGTAGAGAATATATAAGAGGGAAAATAAGGCATAATCCAACATCATCAATTGTTCAGGAATTTAATCTCCTCCACATTCTTTTATCTAGAAAGCTTTAGATGAATAGCTTTCTTAAATTTGTAGCATACCGTATAGATGCTATCAATGTTAGAACCAAATTGTCTACCTTTTCTTTCCCACCAAATATAGTCTATAGAGCAGCAAATAACCAAAATGTAAACTGTGTTTTAGAATCAGGGAACATGGGCCATTTTTGAGATATAATCAAATAATTGTAACAAATTTGGCCTCATGAGAAAACTATTCATCCAAGGGAACAAAGTAGCAATAATATAGAAGGAGAAATCATAGTCAAAGAACAAGTGGGAATAATTTTTGGGCAGCACATGACAAAGGCCGCACAACACCCTAACTTGAATATTTCTCTTAGAAAGTACATATGCAGATTTTAGCCCCCCTAGTAAAGCCATCCAAGTATAGAAAGAGAATCCCAAAGCATAGTGTTTGTGCCAGACAAATTTATACCAATGAATCGTTGAAATATCATTATAGAAGTCATATAAGAAAGACTTGAAAGAAGTGTTGTTTTTTTCACACCATCAAATGCAACAGAAGAGGAGTCAGAAATATAGATAGGATAGATAACATCCATAGAATAAGCAGGTAGATCATTAGGAAGATTCCAAGTGTTGTTAACAATGATGGCACTTATGGAGGTATTAGAAGAAAATGTCCGAGTCAAAGAGTCACAATCTGACATCTGCATAAGGGAACGCCCATTGCACCAGTGGTCCCAGAGAAGGGAGATGGGATAGTTAGGAGAGATACTAAAGCAAAAAAATTTACTTGGATTTCACAGTCGAATTGAAAGACTTTTCTAGTAGGCTAAAGGTTTTGATGTAGGAGCTTTTCAACGAGAGCAATATTCAGCTCTATACCAGCTAGAAAAGGTCTATCTAAATTATGTAAGCATTATATGAGTGAATAGTTATATGCATGATATAGAGATGGAGGGATACCCATGGCACCAAATTTTTTTGGCATACATGGATTTTTTTCCAAGAAATAAGGCTTAATTTCCTGACATTAGTGTTTTCGTGGTAGATAAGGCTAGCACAGATTTTATTAATGAATTTAAAATAGGATTTAGATAAAATAGAGCATCTTATCCAATAAACTGTAGTGTTCCTTATAATAAAGCACACAAATAGTAGTCTTCCAACAAAAGACAGAAGTTTAGCTTTCCAACCATCAAGAAGATGAGATTTTTTTTTTTTTTTTTTCATAAGAGGTAGAAAATCATAGATATGAGTTCTTTTAATGGAGATAGGCAACCCAAGGCAAATCAGAGAGTTGCCAACCAATAGGATATTGAGGAAGCAACATATGCCCGCAGTGTTGGGTGTGTTGGGAGACAAGATAAATGTGCTTTTGGTATGATTGATATGAAGCCCAGACAAAGAGGCTAAACCGTCAATATGTTATTAAGGGCAATAGTAGTATTCTGAGCATTGGTTTTGCCAAACACAAGGAGATAATTAGCATAAGGCAAATGTGTGAATTGTGTACTATCAGCATATATGCCCTCAAAATTCTGATCTGCAACAAATGAATCTAAAAGATTTGAAGGTCATCCATAATAATGCAAAATAGGTATGGAGAGAGGGGACATCCTTGTCTCAATCTAGATGAGGAACTAAAAAAACCTTTTAGGCCACCATTAATACAAACTGAATAATAAATCTCATTGGCGCAAGCTTTAATCCGAGAAATAAAAGCAGAAGGGAAACTTTTTTGTTCCAGACATTTTAGTAGAAAGCCCTTGAAACCGTATTCAAACCTTAATAAATATCAAGTTTAGATTTTTTTTTTTTCATAACAGAATGATTAAACTTCCCCCAACAACTCAGAAGCAAGAATAATATTATTTGTTGAAATCCTCTTTTGAATAAAGCCAAATTGATTGGGATGAATGATATGAGACATAATAGGTTTGAGCCTATTAGCCAAAATTTTTGCAATCACTTTATAAAATATATTGCAAATAGAAATAGGCCTGAAGTTAGAAATATTATTAGCATGATTGGTTTTGAGAATCAAAATTATAGCTGTGGCTTTGGCTCTCCTTGATAAATAGCAATGTTGAAAAAAAAATTTAACAGCCTTGTAAACCTGAGGTCCAATAATATTCCAGTCACTTTTATAGAATTCAAATGTGTATCAATCAAGACCAAGGACTGAAGAGGTAGGATTAGAGAGAATGATATCTTGGATTTCATCATCTGCACTGGGGCAGTAAGAGAAGCAATGAGGTGGGTGGGGGGGAGAGATTTATTGAGCCTGAATGAGAGTTAAGTAAGCCAAGGGCTAGTTGGGGTATTGAAAAGTTTTTGAAAGTGAAAGATAATAGCATTAATAGAGTCCCGTGTTGAGTATGGAGTTCCAACAGGCGATGATGGCTTTTTAACTCTGTTGTAGTTTTGTCTTATTTTCATCTTGGCATATAGAAACTTGAGATCATTTTCACCATGAGAAAGCTATTTTGCTTTGGACCTTTGGATGATCAAAGAAGCCCAAGAGGAGGAGCATTTGACAAGTAGTCTATTAACATTCTTCAAAAGATAGTTTAGAAAGGTGTTTAAAGGACCATGATCCAGTTGTTAAAGATATAAAGTTTGTTGTTGTTGGAGGTCAGTCATAGAGGTGGTGTCTAGGTAGGTGGAGGAAGCCCAGGCTTTAGTTAATGAGGGTTTTAAGATTTTGAAGCTTTTGGTAGAGTGATGAGATAGGATTTCCAATGGGGTTTTGAGAGAAAACCCTGATGAATTTCCCAATAGCTGGCATTCTTAGTCCAATAGTTTTTAAATAACATGTGGTTTTTTGAAATAAGGCGATTGGATTGGATTGTAGAATGAGGAGGGAATGATTATAACGTCTAGGGTTGTTGATCCTATAAAAAGAGTATGAGAATTGCTTCTCTTACCGTCCTAGTGACAAAATTTTATATAGTGACAAAATTTTATAACATCTAGGGCTGTATCTCATTAATAAAAAAATTATCCAACTTGATATGTATAGGATAGTTTGATCTTTGATTAAACCAAGTAAAAAAAATAACAAATGCCATATTTTTTTTACTGATATCATATATAAGAGACTCGAAATCCCAGAGCTTGCTGTTATGAATAGGTCTCTTATGAATAGGATTGCCACCTGCTTTTTTCAAAATGATACTTATAGCAATTGAAGTCACCAAAGATTGCTCAAGGCTGAGAAGAACTATCAACGATGGCTTTGATTTGATCCGGAAGGAGCCTTTCATCCAAAAAATTAGAAGCATAAACTATAGATGTTTGAAAAGAGGGGTGAGACCCAATAGTGATGGTCCCATGTATCATTTGGCTTGAGAAGAAAGAGGAGGTGAAAGAGATTTTAGAGGAGTTCCATTTGATCTAAATTCTTCCATTTTTTAGAAAAATCAAAATTGTGGCAGCTTTCTTCATTAACAAAAATATTATGTGAGGAAGAAAACCAAGGGTATGACAGCATTGTACCGTTTATCTTTGCCTTCAGAATGCAGGGCATGTTTAGAGCAAAAGTGTGGGTAAGCTCCTTACAACTGAGGACTTTATCAGTGTTATTGAATCCTTTGATGTTCCAAATAATGGGAGGTAGGGTCATTTAGATTTAGTGAGCTAGTTTGTTGCCTTGTCATTTTTTGGCTCTTGTAGATTTTGATGTATGAGAGTAGGGATGTCAATATTTGACCCGACTCGAAACACGACCCAGACCAAACCCAAAAAATTCTAGGTTTGGGTTAACGCATTTTGCAAATGGGTCTGGTTTATATTTCATTTTTTGACCCATTTCAAATTTCAGGTTCAATTTGTGTCAACCTAAAAACCCGAAATCAAGTTTTTTTTTTACCCCAACCTAAAAACCCGAAATCAACTTTTTTTGACCCGAAATCAACCTATTTCTGACCCAACCTAAAAACATGCATCGCTCGCGCATGGCTACTTATGGGTTAGCGAGTTGGGTCGGGTCGGGTTGGGTTTGGATTTCTGACCCATTTTCCTAGTCGTGTTGGGTCAATTGAAGCTTGGACCCGAGCTTGACCTAAAAATCCATTTTGACACCCCTATATGAGAGGTAGACGGGTTAGATTGGGGGACATCAGGAACATTTTGTTTTTGAGTTTGGATATTGAGATTGTAAGACATGAAATTTGTTTGAATATCGGAACATCTGGTTTTTTTTTGTGGCTATTTAATTGAAGGTAACATCTGAAGGCTATCTATAGTACTTACTTTCATATTATTAGTCCTTCTGTCGATATATATATTTTAATCATCTCGCCATACGATTTGCATACGAGCAAATTGCTTACCTGTTTAATTGTCATATTTTCCTTTTATGCTTTTCTTTGTAAACCTTCTGCCATTGATGATTTTTTTTTTTTTTTTTTTGAAATAATGAGAGCCAAGTGAAGTTTGATTCCTTGTGTTTGAATGATATATTGTCTTATGTTTTAGCTTGGAGGTGAAATTTGGTTCTTTTTGTTAGAATGCTGTTATTTTATGCTTTAGTTTTTATCCCTAAAAACCTCTTGGCCATTTTTTTGTTTTTTGTTTTTACTTTGTATCAGCGCTTCGGAATGATCACAAGGCTATCACTGCAAAAATAGATGAAAATTTGCAAGTTCTGCACTCAGCCAAGTTAGCTAGAAACGATCTACAACGTCCACCACATTCAGGTAAATCAACCAAAAAATTTTTAGCGTTATAAAATTTTGTTGATTGAGATTCCTTGGTTTTCAAAGGTGGACTCAGGCGTTACTTCTTATTTATTTGTCTGCTCAATTGCTGTTTTCACAGACTATGTACTTGGTATTTTTTTTAAGGTGATGAACTTTCTAAAAATATCTACAAACTTTATTAGAGTGTGTGATATTCTGGGATCATTGGCTCGATGTGTTACAGTGATCCATATGTCTGAACATATCCAATCGCTTCTTAAGCTTGGAACTACATAAAGAGACAAGTGTCTTTTCATTGGGCTGGTTAAATAAGAATTCGGTTGGTTTTCTGGCCAATCAGACCAACTGGTTCTTTGTAAAGCATTGCAACGCCCGACATTGCTCTCTGATCAATTCTTTATTGGAGCCTCTACCATCCTATCCACCTAGCCCGTCTCATATTCCTTGTTTTATGATAATACTCTTTGATGTACAAACGGGCAAAGACTGTCTAATTACCAAGTATTATAGATGTATCATCAGCACACTAACAGCACAGTGCACCATCAATTATTTGGTGCTGCTAATTTTTGGTTGGAGCAACCGCAGATATGGCACTTGTTTTACTCATAATCATGGTCATTAGCATCGCATCATCCCTACTATTAGGGGCAGCGTTATGAATCCTCATTTTCCATTCATTCCTTTTGAGTGGTGTCTAAGGAAATAAATATATTGTTAGCAAATTATTTTGAACAGTTTCTATTCATATCATCTTAGGTTTATCATTTTGTTTGTCTTCTAACAAACTTACACTATGTTTATCAATTCGCCTAATGAGAGCATTTCCTACACTTTGTACATGTGCACAACAAATAGTGTTTTATTAAACATTGGAGAAAAAAAGAAAATTACATGTGCACAACAACAACAACATCAAACCTTTATCCCACTACGTGGGGTCGTCTACATGAATCCTTTTTCTCCAAACATGTCATGATTATTCGACAAATTTTATGCTTGCTATCAACTACCTAATGCAATCCTCCACTTTTCTCATCCAGGACTTGAGACTTGATAACAACAGTGTTAAATTCACCTAATTCTATGTTCAATTACTTTATATTTAATAGATTTAACTAACATTTTTTTATAATATAATCATCTTTAATTCTGATGCATGCAAAAATTAGGACAACCCCCTAATTTTTGCAAGAAAAAGAAAACTCTTCCTAGGACAATAAGAAGGATACAAAGACACTCTTGAAATAACAAAAACAACAAGTTTATAACATATAAAAAGGACACTTACAACTTATGAAAATAAAACAAACACTTTACAAACGACGCTTACAAACTTAAAATAAAAACACCTTAAGAAGCTTGCCAATCGTCGAAAAGAAAGATACAGGTGGTGTCAAACTTGCGGTGAGAAGAAAGAGGTAAGAAGTCGAGACGAAAAGAGGACAAGCTCGCAATCTTTCCTAGAAGAGAAGAAGCACGGAACAAACTCGCAAGCTTTTCCAAAGAAGGAAGAAAAACCCTCAGGTTTTTAGTTCAAAAAATAATCCATTATAATACACCCTCTTTATTACATAACATCACATATATATAGGATAAAAGGGGCAGCCAAACAGCCACCATAATCATTAATTAAACCCATTAAAATGGGGGATATAGAAGACCAAAAGACTATTAGAAACAACACCCAAAAAAGCCACCAAGGAGGGCCAGCTGGCTATCTAGAAACTGCAGCCAAATAACTCAAAAAAAGGCCAGAATTAATTCCATAACAGCACCTGAAAAGGAAACACAGGAAACCGGGTAAAACAGCCACGGGAGAAGCAGTCAGGGGGTGAACTGAAGTTCTATTTTGATATTCGATATTGATTTGTAAGGGAAAATACCTATGTTTTCATTTTTCTTTAGATGGAAAGTTCATATCTAGTTCCTTTGATTTAGAATGTACAATTGGCGATCCATTTTCTGTCCTAATCTACAACTAATCATTTTCAAGCTTGCAAGGGTTCTTGAGACTTTTGATGGCTTTTTTTTTCTTACTTAAAAGTTTTTTAATTTTTAGTATTTAATTCCACCGGAGTCCATACAAGTAATGTGCATGGTTTCTCAATAATCTCCTAAATTGTGACAACTAATTAGGATTTGGAAATCTGTTGCAGATCCATCAGCTTCTGTTCATGATAGAGCATCTCAAACTTCTCCCATGGTTGTGGACTCGATTGCAAGGATTCCTTTTGCTGTGATTGATGAAATAAGCGATGCTTCTCCAGCAGCAGAAGATGGTTTACAGCTTGGTGACCAGATAATAAAGTTTGGGAATGTTGAAATTGGTGATGCATTGATGGTAAGGCTTGCCTCAGAAGCACAGTCAAATGAGGGCCATCCTGTTTCTGTACTGATAATGAGGCAGGGCATTCTAATGAATTTCACTATAACACCTAGACACTGGCATGGCCGTGGACTGCTAGGGTATGTTTCTCTATTGTTTTTTTTTTTTATTTATTGTTTCCCTTAGCAGCTACCAGTCAAGTTAAGTCTGTTTACAAGTGTCAAACAGGAGTTATCAGCTTTCATCATTTTCTTAATTGCACGAGCTCTAGTTACTGATGTGGTTTAGTAGGTCAAACACTGCAAACTTTTCTCTGACAAGGTCATTTATCATACCTAATCTTTGTGCATAGCTATGCTGTTTGGCATGTGCATCCAACAGGTCAGCTATAAAGAACAACTGGGTAAGACTCCACAACAGCAACAACAACATCAAGTTTTTATCCCACTACGTTGGGTCGGCTATATGAATCCTTTTTCTCCATTGTGTCCTGTTAAGAGTCAAATTATTATTTAAATCTAATAAAGAAAGTCTATTTCTAATACTTTATAACCAAGTCTTTTTAGGTCTAGCTTTACCTTTCTTAACATAGGCCAAATTTAATACATCTATTCTCCTAACCAAGTCATCATAAGGCTGACGTTTTATGTGACCAAAGCATCTAAGGTGACTCTCTCTAATCTTATCTCCCACTAGAGCTACTCTAACCTTTTCATATATGTACTCGTTTCACATTTTATCTCTAATAGTTAAGTCACTCATCCACATGAGCATCCTCCTCTCTGCAACACTTAACTTAATTTTATGCTTATCTTTTAATGGCCAACATTCTGCACCATAAAGCATTGCAGGTCTCACCATCTTATAGAATTTTCCCTTAAGTTTGAGGGATACTTTTCTATCACATAATAGGCCTGATGCATTTCTCCACTTCAACCATCCAACTTAAATTCTACTAATAATATCCCCATCTATTTCACCATCATTTTGAACAATAGACCCAAGATATCTAAAATGTGTACTCTTTTTAATGACTTGATTGTCTAAAGTCACAATCCCCACACTAGATCTATTACTGCTAAAATTTCACGTCATGTATTCGGTTTTAGATTTACTCAAATGAAAACCTTTAGACTATAAAGTTGATCTCCATAATTTAAGTTTTCCTTCAACTCCCTCTTGTCTTATCAGTAAGAAGAATATCATCAACAAAAAACATAAACGAGGGTACATTCTCTTGCAAATATCTAGTGAGAACATCCAAGATTAAAGCAAAAAGATATGGGCGTAAAGCTGATCCTTGATGTAATCCAACTCAAATAAGAAAATACTTGGTCAAACCACCTTGTGTTTGAACACAAGTAATAACTCTTGCATAAATATCCTTATTGACTCGAATATAATCATTATTAACTCCTTTATTTTCTAGAACTCTCCAAAGTATTTCTCTTGGAATATGCTTTCACTAAATCAATAAATAACATATGTAACTTCTCCCTATTCTCTCTATACTTCTCTATCAAATCTCTCAAGAAATGTATAGCTTCCATAGTAGAGGTACCTAGCACTAATCCAATTAATTTTGAGAAATATTAGTATCACGTCATAACATATGCTTAGTAAATCTCTCCCATAGTTTTATGTATGACAACATATTAACTTAATTCCTGTATAATTCACACACTCTTGTGCATCACCTTTATTTTTAAATAAGAAATAACCTACTTCTCCTCCACTCATCTGACATCTTTTTAGTCTTCAAAATAATATTGAAAAGTTTTGTAAGCGAATAAATTCCTTCATCTCATAAGCATTTTCAAGCCTCTATTGGAACATCATCAGGTCTAATATTCTTTTCACGCTTCATTTTCTTTAAAGCCTTTTTAACTTTGATTTTCCTAATACGATGATGAAAAAAAAAATCTATGTATTCATTTAGGGTACTAAGGTCACTAAAGTCAATCATATTCTTACAAATTTCATTAAAAAGCTCATCGAAATTTCTCATCCATCTATATTAAATATCCTCTTCTAATAAAAACATGTTTTGTTCTTCATCCTTAATGCACTTCACTTGAACTAAATTATTATTTTGATTATCTCTTTGCTTGGCTAACTTATATATACATCTTTTGCCCTCCTTAGTATTTAAACATTATATAAATCATTAAAAGCTAGACATTTTGTATAGCATATTGCTTTCTTAGACTCCTAATGGGCCCCTTTATATCTTTCTAATTAAACTATTTTTTATTACAAAACTTCATATTTTTTTTATCTCAACTTGATAAGACTCCATGGAGGCATATTTGTTTTGGCTTACTTGCTGCCAATTTCATATCTTGATAACTCTTTAGTACTCCGGGGAAAGTATATGATATGTCAAAAAATGCTTCGAAACGAGTTTACCCAAAAATCCTAATCAATGTCTAGATGACCTACTTATTGGCTTGATTCCCGACGATTGAGGTTTTATGCCCTGGATTAACTTGAAAGGCCTGATTCTTGAAGATGCATATAAAGAATCATCTTCGATTCATGAATGGCTAAGAAAAGAGATCAATTGATTTTGAACTAAGTTAAATACATTAGAATCAAAGAAAATAAATCTTAGTTATAGATGAAGATATTCAGGAAATATGAGAAATTATTAAATTGAAAGTTTTATGAAAAAAATTATTTTGAAAGAGCCTACGAGAAAATTAATAAGGTATAGTACTATAGTGTAGATAAATCTAAAAAAAGTGAAGAGGAGTTGGCTTTGAAAGTTTTAGGTTTAGATAAGATAGCTATTAAGATTTAGAAGATATGGAGAGTTAAGAGGGATATTTTTGTTATTTGCTGAACAAATCTTTTTGATGGAACTTTGAGGAGAAACAAGATATAAAATGATTGGAGAATAAATATTATATTATATATGCTTAAGCACAGAATAGATTTTAAAGATTGTGATTAATAATATAGTAATCTAACTTATGAGTTTAAAAATTACATCACTTTGGACTATCAATGTTGTTTAACACCAAAAGATCCACTATAAAAGTTATTTTTGTGTTAAGACAATCAGTTCAATACTATAAAGCACAGATAATTGATATTTATATAATTTGTTATTAATCTTGGGAAGGTGTATAAGTACAATGAGAATTAATTTGGTATATGTTAAGGAAAGGCATCTCAAAGGTACGTTAAGGTTATAAATGATATGTATTGACGGGTGTTGACTAATATTAGATGTAGTTGTTCAGTGACCGAAGTGATTCTAATTATAGTAAGTTTATATCAATGATCAAGATTGAGCCATATATTTTTTGTATTAGTTTTAAAGTTTCTTACAAATAATAGTCAAAGCGAGGTGCCTATGTGTTTGCTTTTTATAGTTGAAATAGTTCTAATTGATCAGTCATCCGCGGAAGTTAAAATAATGGGGAATTATTTTAGATTATAATGTGTTAGAATCAATAGAAGAAAGATTGAGTATAAATATACCATTTTAGTGTATGTGATTTTAAAAATATCAATCAATACTATTTGATGACAAAATGATAAATATTGTGATTGATTTAAATCTCCTTGATTTATTAGACAAAAGAATGAAGATACTTTTAAGTATAGAACTTCTAGATCTAACATTGTATTGTTAAAATGAAAAGGTTCTTTTGGAGTTATTTGTGATGAGAGGATATTATGAAAACTTAATGATAAACTTTAGAAAGTTGCCATTAATCTGCCTTTATTATACAAATCCAAGTATTGAGTAGTAAAAATAATATTGATAGCTAAGTTGAGTATTATGGAAATGATAATTTTAAGATATATGCATGACAAAATTGAATAGTGTAAGTTAATGAATATTTATATGAGGGAGATTATTTGAGTTGCAATCATTAAAGATAAGTTTGTTAAAAAATCGACAGGTTGTTTGGATATGTACGATGAATGGTAGAAAATGCACTGATTAGACGAGTAGATAAACTTAGTGTGGATTGATTAGGAAGAAAATCTGGCAAACCTTACTCACCTAAGATGATATGAATAGAAGTTTTTAAAAATGATTTGAGAAGAATAGGGTTAATATCTCATGTAACAATTAACAAGAAAGAATGGAAAATGATTATTAATTAATAGATTATCTTTGATAGTTAATGTAACTAGAAGGTATTTTAAGCTGTAGGGTTAGGCGTGTAAGTGAGCCGAGCCGGCTCGCAATTCGAGCTCACGAGTCAAGCTCAAACTAAACGAGCTTGAGTTCGAGCTTTATGAGGTTCGGCTCGTGAGCTCGTGAGCCGGATCGAATAATTATTAATATTTTTTAAATAATTTTATTTTATTTATTAAATTTAAATTTTTTAAAATAGAATAATAATGTTTAAAATATTTAATAATACAAAAATAAATTAATATTTAATGTTTAAAATATTTAATAAAATTTTAAATATTCAAAATAAATATAATTAATAATATTTAAAGAGTCCCGTCAAGACTCGCGAGTCAGCTTGATCTCGTTTACAGTAGGACGGGCTCAAGTTCGAGCCGAGCTTGATAAGACCGCTACTCGACTCGACTCGTTTACAACCCTAGTAGGGATGCACTTTTTTTGTAAAACTTGCGAACTTTTTCCCTTTCTTCTGCACTACATTTTCTAAATGTGATTTTTTTTAGCTCCCTTTACATGTAAGAAAGCGAGACATGGAGAGCTTTTGGATGACATTATTGTGTGTTTCTTGCAGATGCCATTTTCGAATCTTATGACAATCATTCAAGAATGAGTAACTGGTAAGGATTCAGTTAAATAAAATGTTCAAAATTCGTCCTACATTATGATGCTTTTTTCTGCAAATTTCTGCAAGACTATTCATATTTGTTTTGGCTAGTTGAATTTGCATTATTCATCTGATGATCTTCTCTGAGGAATTAATCATGAAGCAGATATATGTAGACTTGCATCCTTCCATAAACCTATAAGAAAAAAGGGCATAGCCGAGAATGAGGATCATATCAATATGGGCTCTAGAATGGTCGTTAATCTTATGCAATTGTAGAAAGGAGAGGTTCCCTTTCATAACTTCAGTACGTGACCTTAAACTCACAAGGGGGACGCAATTCTCTGCCTAGACCTGGCCTTTATTATTGAATATTTGGATTGTACGCTGTATTTCCATTAAGGCCTGAATGAAGATAATACAAATTGTTTTTACTGTTCAATCCATCTTCATTTAGGGACTTAAAAGAGTCGCATGCCTATAGAGTGTAGTTAATATTATGGAACATTCATATGTATTGAATGTATTATGATCATCATTTAACATGCATATTTTGGTGAACTGGAGCGTTGTCATTTTTTACGTGCAATATAACCAGTCATCCCAGTAATGTTTTATCACAAGAACTTCCTCGGCCACTTCAAACGAAATGGTATTCTTGTAGACGTCTTTTTTCAAGTGGAACAAGTTTCTTATTTATCTTATTCAGGTTACCAAAGAGTAACCTTGTAATTTACTTCTAACATTTCACCGAGTGGCGAGAACGGTTCATGATTTGTAGCATTAACCTCTGCAAAGGCATTAATTATTTTAGGTAGGGGTGTCAATATTTGACACGGCCCGAAAACCCAACTCGAATGCGATTCGAAAATTCTGGGTTATGGTCAACTTGGACCCGAAACGGGTTTGTTCTGGTTCAGAAAATCGACCCGTTTAAAAAAAAAAAATTAGGTCTGGTTCGGGTTGACCAGTAACCCGAAATTGACCGTTTTTTACCCGGAAACCTGAGATTGACGCGTTCCCGCTTTTGATTCGAAAATCGGAAATTGACCTGTTTATTGACCCAAAAACTAGCAATTTTTAGTCCGTCCCGAGTCATTTGGGTCGTGTCGGGTTGACCCGGACCCAAAGCGAGTCGGATTCGGGTTCGAAAAACCGACCCGTTTGCCGAAACGGGTCGGGTTCGAGTTGACCCGAATAGTGTCAAAGTCAGTTTCGAGTTCGACCAGAACCTGACCTGTGACCTGAAATTGACACCCCTAATTTTAGGTAGTTGAATTTAATCTTAAAAGATAAGAAGGAAAATTCATAGGCACTTTTAATGGAATCTTTGGTCTGTGAAGATGAGAAAACTAATCAAAATATTTTGTTGTCATTATTGATATAGTGGATAAAATTGAGAAGTAGTAAGATTGTCTAACTGGACGAACTAGCATAAATTTTTGCTACTGTTGAACTCTATCCCATCCATGACGTGTACCAACTAAAAATGTTGATGCAGGACTACAATTGATGTAGGACCATAATGCTTGCAATGGTTTTATTAAGAGCTTACACAACTTATTGATTAGAGAAATAATAAATAGAACTATTTAGCAAATAAAACGATGGATCAAAACATAAGAGCGATCATGATGTAAAACGTATTAGCATGGATGATTAAATTAAGGAAATTTGCACGCTTAAATTTTAGAGCACAATAATTATAAGCTTTCTCTTGATGATAAACAACAAAATAAAAATGATAAGGTGATAAAATAGCTTTGGTCTAAACACATGCGAGAGGTTGAGATCATTAAATAGTCAACTAAGTCTTACTTTGCATACATGAGTGGTTTCAACGAGAAATTCCAATACTAACAATAAGATTAGTCTAAGAAAGATCCCTCACACAACTCTTCTAATTACTAGGCTTTAGCGGAGAATAATTGACCTGATCTTCATGAATCCATTAATAACCATAAACGAAAAGTAAACTAGGAAGATAGAAGAGTGAGTAAGAGTTTATCCCCAAAAAAAAGGAAGTTTATGAAAGCTATGATGATTGCGGATGAAGGGACAAGTGCAGCTTCAACTTTGGAAACCACTCAGCAAGCAATGGGTTGTCTCTTCGGGCGGGCTGGGACGACAACTAGATTCCTAGGAACAGCAGCTAGGACTGGTTCTGGACGCTGGCACAGCAACCCTAGTTTGCTGTGGTCACAGATGCAACCTATTGTGCTCAGGGAAACTAATCTAAGCAGGAAGAAGGGCTGTCCGTAGAGATCTGGACAGCAATTATCGCTCCCGGGGATGGCTGGACGGTCGGTGGTTGCTGCAACGAGAATTTCCAACACGCAATCTTGAGATGTTTGGGCAGACAGTTTTTCCTGGAGTTTTGGAAGGGATTTGGGAAGGAAAAATCAGCCAACAGGTGGGGAATTTATCGGCCAGCAGGTAGGGAAGCGTTTGAATTAATTCCTTACTTAGGAGTAGTGGATTGGAAGGAATTAAGGGAGATTAATAAAAATGACATTTAATTTTCAGTTTTGATTAAATTGGAGGGAAAGACTTAAATTTTGAATTTCAAGTCAATAAGGCATTAAATTGCTTGAATGGGGGAATTAATGAGGGGAGCCAAGAAGGGGAGGAGGCCGGCGGTTTCAAAGAGAGGGGAATGGGAGTTTTCATTTCAATAATCTGAAATTATATTTCAGATTATGAATGAAATTTAAGGGGGGTTATTTTGAAAATTTGAATTTTGATCAAGATTGATGGCATTTAAACTAGCAATTATAATGGATTTCCCCCTTGATGAGGCCGGCGCTATGTAGAGAGATGAGGAGGGAAGATTAGTGTGAACAAATCAATTTCCGATTAGGAGGATGCCACCTAGGATGAGAATTAGTAACTCCTCATGCCATGAAATTTGAATTGGATTCAATCCAATTCTTTCCTTATTTGGACTTTGGCAATTATGGAAATTTTGGAGCTCATTCAAATTTGAATTTTCGAAATTTGAAGAACATGGTGGGTGATGATGTGGAGGTAAGTTATGAGAACTCCAACTTAATTTAATTTGAAATTGGAATTTATCAAATAAAACTTTTCTAAATTGGATTTCCAAATTAGGAAAGAATTCGGAATTCAAATTTCAAATTTAGAGCATGCGGGAGGGAGGAGTGGACGGTTGGGGAGGTTGCCGGCAAAGTGGTCGGCCGGAGCCGTGAGGGTGACCGGCGGGGTGGACTCCAAGGGGGCGGCGGCAATGGAGCTAGGGAAATATTTTGTGGATGAAGAGCGGAGAAAAGAGAAGAACAAGAATATACGAGAAAGATAGAGATAACTAACGAACTCACAAAGAGATCGTAAGAACCGCGAACCTCGGACTCTTCCAAAGTTTGGCGGGTATTGCGAATTACCCTCCTCGGGCTTCTCCTCTCATGAACTCACTAAGAGATCACGTGAACTCACTAAGAGATCAACAAAAATATGAAACTTTTCATTATCAATCATCATCCCTCAATACAAGAAAGCTAGCCTATAAATAGGCCTCATGAAAAGAAAAATAACAAAGACTAAAATGCCCTTCGGGCTACAAAACTACATGACCACCCATAAGGGTATAAATGAAAAAACAACAATATAAAATAAACTAGTACAAAAACATATAAATAAATAACTAAAAAAATCGTAGCCGTTGATCTCCGATGTCCTCATCAGATCACTTTCGTTTAGGCTAAGTTGCATAACAAGAGATTTAAATCATCAACATATCATAGGAAAAATAATATCATGCAAAGTAGTAACTTTCAACGGGAATCCCTAGTCTAACAATAAGATTAGAAAACAAATGAATGCACTCAATTCCCTATGTTTGCTAAGCTTAGCAGAATCAAGCAAATGCGACCTTCATGACTACAATCAAATCACTAGAGAGGAATTGATTTGATTGTAGTCATGAAGGTCGCATTTGATTGTAGTCATGAAGGTCGCATTTGCCCGATTCACAGCAACCTTCCGGACTAGGAGGCCACGTGGGAACCTTACGTGAGGGTGAAACATCAGTTTCCTGTTTTTAACCTCGAGGACAAGGTGGTTCTTTGGGAGGGCGGTATTG